ATGAAGAGCTTCAGCCAGTGCGCTTATTGAGTAAGATAGTTCGTGGCATTATCACCAGGCCCACAAGTGAAGAAGAAAACTCGAGCTATTACAAAAAGTGGCAAGAAGCTAAGAAATGGCTCGCATAAACGTGACCGACTTGAGTCGCCGCTGTTATCGCAATCGTCAGCAGTACTTTCGAGTAGTTTTTTCAGGTGGGGATGGAATATGCCCAAACCATAAGTCATGAGTACGAAAATCGCTCTCAGACTGAACTGTAGACCCATATCAAAGGGATGTTCCGCTGTGCATCAAACCGCATTCGTCTGTCAAAGCTATAGTCGTGACGTGGTATACTCTCTAGTAAACCTATTGATTGTCACTGGGACTTATGGGCTTGTCGGCAATCCGTGAAGCTTTTGGCCTTACTTCAATAATCTCGGCCTTATCACCAGCCCTGCAGTGACTATGCTTAAAAACATACACGATATGCAATGCTCACGCCAAGGGTGCGCGAACGCTGCGAGCCCTCAAGCTTCGAAGAGGATTAGCGTCTGGGTTTACACCTAACGGATGCTTTTTGTATACCTAAAGAACGTCCACATACAGGGTACATTATTTGTATTAATTGCATTTTACTCATTATTTATAATATCAAATAATTGACTCATCCTAGAGTCTCGCAATATGTTAATGCTGATTGGATGGCAGAAACCTTACAACACATTGTTTGGGTAAGAGACAAACGTCAAGATCGGTAGCCTATGATCCAAAACTAAGTCCATTCCAGCTATACAAGTTTCTAAAATATGAATTGAATCTGGTGCCACTTATTCGTCTCCAATGTAAACCTTTGTTCGACATTCATATCTAACATTTCACAAGTGGTGTTATCCTTTGTATACATACTTGATTTTATGTATGAAATACTGCGATGAGAAGAAGAGATCTCAAATCATTTCAGACTATGTTGTGTCTACAACAATTAACATAAACGTTTCTGAGAACCATATCTTTCTTAGCTACAGCGTTCGCACGCTAGACTCGCTTCAAGGTGTAAAAGGCAATGCGCATAATCAGTCCAGGTTTCAAAATCTGAGACTATCAACTCAAGATTAAGACTTCGACCGAAAATAAATAGCGATTGGGTTTGGGAACGGTGCTATATCAAGTACACCGACCTCAAGCACTAGTGCTGATAATAACTATGATCAATCGCTTCAGTCTTTTCTAATGTGTGAAGGCACTAAATGGCTACGTGGGGACAATAAATGGCGAAACATCCCAAAACCTTGTCTTCTCTGACAATGAGGCTAGCAATCAGGCATATGCTGTAGTGCTATCCTGCCCGTGAGTGAAAGCTGACCTTTTGTTCACGCCAAAGTGCTCGCCCAACACAGAGTATTACGTTCTCTGGGGAATGCGAGTCCTAGGGCACAAGTGCTTCTGCAGCACCTAGCGCTGACAAACTGCTGTAGCAGCGCACAGGCTTTGAAATCGCAACATTTGTTTATATGATCCAAAAAGGACCACGCAGCGAGTCCTTCCAAATAATTTTTCCCATAGACGGAACATACATTTGAGCGGAGGGCAAATCGAGGATCAACTTTCCAAGCTTACTTTTGCTATCGACGGGTGGTAGTGCTACTCTGTCGATTGACCTGCGACCAAGGTATCTTTACGTTGAGAGGTCTTGTTGTGAAACTATTTTTTGCCCTCAGCAGAGCATGAGGTGTTTTGGTACCGTGACCGCAATAATGCTTCACACAACAAGTGGGCAACAATATTTGCCGGAGAGCCACTGAATACCAACACGATGCAGCTAGTCGACAGCATCTTCTGCACTACCGATTTCGCGACTGTTTGCTCTGTGCAAACGCTTATCAGCTTAATTCCACTCGATAACTCCATGATGTGCTATACTTTAAAGTGCAACGGAGACTGTGACCGCATCGCCTTTCGTTATTGCTAGTACCGACATGAATACATCCTGGACAAGGCTCTGTGGTTTTTGTTCTTAACGCATACACCACACATATCAAGAACTGAAATACCTAAGTCCTTCCATTCTGGCAAGCCGAACTTTAACTCCTGAGTTTTCGTTTGTTCGTACAATATACTTTAGTGTACAGTTTTTACGTATAATGAACGTTCAACACTCGCACTCAGCCTTCTTTACCAGCGACAATGTTATCAACAGCACACAATCCCGCATGATTTCTTTCATTATCTCTATGTATCCTGGATTGGCCATCACACGCTCACTGTCTTACTTCTCGACATCTTTCTGTATACTTAAGCCGTCAGGTCGGTATGGCTCGATCCGCTATCAAACATTCATGCTATCGCTGGACCTGGTATCACTAAGTGTCAGCGCAATGATCCATCAACCTCTCCGGTCCAGCTCTTGTCCTTTTCTGGATATACCTCAAGCTGCCTCGCCTGATCACATCTATAGCACGTGAACTTTCCCTTGCAAAAGGTAAACGCTGCCTGTTACGAGCCTCTCGTATCCTACATCATCGCATCTCCATGAGTTGCGCAAAGTGCGCCAATCTTGCCAAAAATAGTTCGTCAAAGCCAGATTAAGACTAGAAAATAAAGATTCTCGAGTCGGAGTGAAAACGACATTTAGTAAAAGAATTTCTTAGCCCCGCATGCTTCACTTGTTGTACATAGCCGCTTTTATTGCGTTTTGCAGTGCGATATCGTGGCAGAATCTTCCAGTTTGGCTGCTCTTCTCACTGTTGGTCTGTAGATTGTAGTACATTTCTTCTATCCCTGTAATTGACGCCCGAATATGACAAACTTCACGTCTTCTTAGCGCTGAGAGCCACTTTGGTTAGAAACTCACTATCAGGCTTATGGTCCATTTTTTCTAGTCGGGCTTCTCTATTTCCAGATTTTTTTCGTTTCACTGCGGTACTGTGGTCACCCCACATTCTGAGCTTGTACCATCTACACGCTTCCAGCTGAGTTTCTCATTCCGTATTCCGTTAACTTCGATTCAAGATATTTATGTATGGAGATTTTAATCTTGAGCTGCATTACTTCAAGCGATAACATTTGTATCAGCTTTGATTTAAGCACCGACTCGAACTTCAGCTCCCGCGATCTTGATGTAACTTCAAGGGAACTTCTTGTGCCACTAGACAAGTCAGAAATTGTAACCCCTTGTCTAAGGTATTTGTCTCTGTAAAGGGGTACGTATAGTATTGGTATATGTATATGCATAGGTTCTCAAACTCAGATCCAAACCCAGGTGTACCAAAGCAATGTACCACGATGAAGTATAGCACAAAACCTAGTACGGAAGAGGGTGATAGAGCTTTAAAAAAGAGACCTGCGGGATGCGTGGAATGCTTACCTCAAGTTAGTAGTATATAGAATGTCATTGATTAACATCGATAGCATAATAGATATATCCAGTATCACTTTAGCTCATCCTCAATAGTAAATATCTGTCAAATTTCAATAAAGAGCATAGACCCATCGTATTACCGGAAAGAGTCTTGGTTTTGCTCTTGGGTTGAACAAATAAGCGCATCCTCTGTGCATTTATTAATGTGAACTCGTAGAGCCAAGCTTCCTCTGTGTGAAGTACACGACAAACCCGCTTTATTGGTGGCACTTGTTGTCAATATTACAACGCCCAAATCTCAAGAAGTCTGTATCATATGTGAGGATAGAACACGAGTTGTTCACCTACCTACCCCCTCGACAGCAAATTACGCCCTATGTAGTCTTGTAAAGATAGGTTAAGATGAACACTGAACTGGCATTGTAATAGACGGTACAGCGGTGTGTCGCAATAATAGTTTTCACTTTATGAGGCAGCGGGATATAATCAGTATTATCAGCGGTACCACTATGAAGAAAGCTTTCCTTACATGGGCATGTTAAAGCAATAGACGTTGCGGGTGTTTGTACCTCCTAATATAATGATCATAATTATGAAGGAAGACAATAACTAGATTGATGTGCTGAGAGCTCTTTATACTTCAAAGACGGCAGACTTTTTTGTGGAAATGAAAAATGACAATTTTTAAGGGGAGTCACCGTACAAGTGCGACTTGCTCCGAAATATTCCAAGTTCGCCCCACCTAGTCGTGGACCTCATATTAAGCACGGAGCACAACTTTCTAGCCACGAAAACCGGTTAGAGTGCGTGATGTAGAAGATCTATAAGAACACCAAAAGCGATAGTCTCAGCCAAAATTTTATGATCACTTTGTTGCCAAACAATACTTCGTACTGACAGATGCTGCATCTGTGGCAATACCAATCATCGGAGCTCAGCGTACAACTTTCTCGCTGTAAAATGACAAAGCTGACCAAAATGCTGTGCTGTATCAGTTGAAAAATCATCGCTGGGTCAATTGCAACCTCTATACAAATTTCCAGCTCCTTTGGGCTTTGGATGGTAGCTTGATCTTCGACGGCGTCGTCCCTTCCATTCATGCTGACATCAAAAGTGTCGTATGGTCGGCGAGAACGAGGACATAAAGCTGGCGGCTTTGTCCGATTTAGCTTACGAAGCCGATGCTGTGCAAAGCACGGCTTTTCATTCGAGCCGAAATGAATCTTCGAAATGGCTCAACTTTCGGCTCAAAGAACCCAGCCGGACATCCGATACTGCTAAAGTGTACAGTATGTCTCTAAAATTTTGCTCGATCACGTACGTGTATTAGAGTAACCAGAACAGGTCTGACGCTTCTGTCGACAAACTAATTAGGAATCGCCTGGCCAAAACCATCTTTCTGGCGACGAGTCAAATACACAAAATGCAGTTTGTTACTTGGAATACTAGTAAATCGTAACGCTCAGAAAGTTGTGGGTTGCCTAGCCTCGTCGAGGCATCGTACGACGTGCAGACGAGTGGGATGTCTTGATGCGCGTACGCTTGAAAGTCACGGAGGTGAAGTAGTCACTCTAGCCAAACCACAGGTGGACTAATAGAAGCGAGAGGTTGTGTTGTGTCCTTTCGATAATTGGTGGTTAGACGAGCAGCCGGAATCCACAAGTTTGTACAATTGTTTTTGAAGCCACTGGCGTAGATACCGTGGCAAGCACAGCAAATCGACGACCATGATTTGTTGAACTATGGCTGGTTAGTGAAAACTAGTTCGACTGACACTAAAACGAGCGCCATGTTCGATTGAGACCACGCATAATACTGACTAAATTCCAAGTGCAAACGACCTTGAGAACTTATACACACAAATTCACGAGAGTTCTAATCGTAAGTTACGCAACATAAAGTACATTTAAAAACACGGCGAATTGCAGCTGCAGTTCTTAGCTACGAAAATTTTACTCGTAGACACTCGAAAGGTGGTTCTTACGGCCGCTCTTTCCGATGCGTTGCGCACAAGAATTCAGAAAATGAAAGCAGAAGTCTGTAGAAAGGCGCGATTGTCTACGTTTGAGTAGACGGGATGGCGACAAGAGGTTCGATGGACCAGTCGGCGGCAGTAGTAAAAGTTGTTGTGAGTCGAGGAGTCGGAGAGTTTTCGAAGGCAGGCACGACGAACGGTTCGATGCGACCAAAGCAAAAGACAGAGGCTTACGACGAAAAAACTGGGTTTGTACGTATCCGATGGGGAAGTTTTGAGCTTTACTGTGGGAGAAGGCAAATTAGGAAGTTTGCATTCTATTCGGTATTGTGGTAGTATACCTCATAGGATGCGACCGTAAACGAATTGGTGCCGCAGGATTGCAACTTAGTATTTGAGACTGCATAGACTTCATGTCAGGTAAGCTAATGGCGCGAAGTAAAACGATTTCACTCACTACTCATTACTGTGTGCTCCGTCTGCTTCTGATTTCTGCAAACTGCTTTGTCTACTTTTCAGTCACGGACATTACATTGGGGCTTTGCCGAACTAGTTACGTCAAACCAACATTGATTTGACGTAACTAGTTTGGCAAAGCACGTTGGCAAAAGTTGTCGAGGAGCAGCTTGGCTGAACCTATCACTGACAACACTTTGGCAGTCCATTAGTATGGTCCCCGAGAAAACGGATCCTGTCATCGTCGTAGCTTATTTGAACCGTCCGAGCAAGATGGTACAATTTGCCAACACACCGGATAGATACACCAACAAATGCATCAAGCGCTGAACCCGATGACACTTTTCGTACGTGCACACAAAATTGATCAGTCACTATTACATGTTTGGCTGATAGCACGTAGCCTTCATTGAGCTAGCTGTTCTTTTCCAGAGGTGAATCATGGGACTTGTACAGAACAGTGTATTTGCTGTGTTCTTCGAGAAGTACGAGTGTTCAGTTGATCAGTGCTGTAATATAACAAGCCTGGAAAATGCATAATGTCCTTGTCGCGACATAGTCAGGCGATGCAACGCCCATTCGCTACAGAGCCGGCCAGGTTGTAACTTAAAGCAGATTATATTTGACGAAAAAATATAACTATTTGCCGTTCCTGGTGAGAAATGTGATAAATACGTCACAATAACTTATGATCTGAATACTTTAGAAACGGCTTATAGCCAAATTATTGTACCCTGATCGTGACAAGGTCATAATCAACTGCACGTAGCTTTTTTAGCTAAAAAGAATAGTTCTTCTCGGTCGCCTTAGCCTGGCGAGGCTCAAACACTATCACGCGAATATAACCAGCGGTATACGCAGATAAGTGTAATTTGTTGCAAGGCCAAAAAAACACAGTCAAGATTATGTGACCGTTCTGGATTCGGAAGGGTCAGAATCGGGGCATAAAAAGATCTCTTTCACGACCTTTAAAGTCGCCTCTTCTGCCGCCTTTTAGGATCCTTATTAAGAAGATAGGTGAAGGACCGTTTTATCTAGCACCAGACCATCCTTGTGCAAGTGGCCCCCTAAGCCACTTTTCCAAATGCACTTTTGGGGCAGAGACACTGACCGATAGAC